GGTGGGCCTCCATGAGATTATGAACTTGCAGCTCCCTGCTTGGAAAATTATTTCTGGGGATGAATGTCATTAATCTGTTCTTATCTCCCAATATTTTTGTATGCTGCATCTTGAAAAATGCTATAAGAAAATAAAAAAGCAACAACTGTGTACTCCATTAATACTCTATTTGACATATTCTTAAGTTATAAATGTAGGAGCGTTGATGCACAAATCCCCCCCCTCACTTGAATATAATGTGTCTCAAAATACTTAACACATAATTACTAGGGAGAAAAATTGGAAAGCCATTCAGCAAAGCTCTTGAAAAGGTTTTCGTCTTTTCTGCCAAGGACGGTTTCCTTAAACGTGCATTTTGTATTTTTATTTTTAACAGTGTCTGTCAGATGCACGTCTCTTTCCCCCAACCTGCGTTCTGGAGTTTTATGGTGGTGATTTAGAAAGGGTAGCTGTATTTTTTATGGCAGATAAAATTCATCTGAGCACAAGAATTGCCTGCCATATCTATCTCAGATCTGCATTGCAACAGAGAGAGTGCAATCTTGCATTTGCTCGAGTTAAAAGCGCCATCAGCATGGGAAGGCTCTCTCTTGTAGATGTTATTCTTTAACAGCCCCACCCTGTGAGTTACTCCATTGGTGAACGTGTCTTTTTGCAATGTGGCAGGCCGGCGGCCGAGCCAGCGCAGCATCGCAACCTGTTGTGCCATGCTTGTATTGGCAACCGACCTAGGAAGGCACACCTGGACAGCCTTATGAGGCAATGCTTCTGTGCCAGCAACAAGCATGTTCACCAGATGTGCTGTAAGCCAGAGCTGGCTCGGAAATGGAAAAAGAATCAGACTCCTGGAGTGGGTTTTTGGGGCACCTACCTGGAGAGTGTTGAAAGGCTGTTTTGGATGCCTTAGAACCAATAATAATAATGATAATGATAATCATCATCATCATAATTTATTTATACCCCGCCCATCTGGCTAAGTTTCCCCAGCCACTCTGGGCAGCTCCCAATCAAGTGTTAAAAACAGTACAGCATTAAATATTTAAAACTTCCCTGAACAGGGCTGCCTTCAGATGTCTTTTAAAGATAGGATAGTTGCTTATTTCCTTTACATCTGAAGGGAGGGTGTTCCACAGGGTGGGTGCCACTACCGAGAAGGCCCTCTGTCTGGTTCCCAGTAACCTCACTTCTCGCAATGAGGGAACCGCCAGAAGGCCCTCGGTGGTTATGCTGGTGCAGCCTTGTAAGCTGAATATTGGCAATAGGCTTCCAAGTATGGGACTGGAACGTGTGACATAAACCTGCCTTGTCTGTTGAGCACATAGCAGTGACAGTTGCAGCCATGCATCTCTGCACACAGCCTGAGCTACACAGTTCCGTAAGGATGGATGCCAGAAATCTCATCTAACAGATACATTGAGCAACACAGAATAATGCACCACCTTATTAAAACGAATCTACTTATTCCCTGCCAAAGAAAACCAGATGTAGTGCTGCAATAGTTGGTGCCTCTTTTCATCTTCATTAGTGGCAAAGTATAGTTTGGCCTGGCATTTCCAATATGATTGTAGTAGATCTCTTAGGGCAGCGGTTCTCAACCTGTGGGTCTACAGATGTTGTTGGACTACAACTCCCATCATCCCTGAGCTCTGGCCTTGCTAGCTAGGGGTGATGGGAGTTGTAGTTCAACAACATCTGGGGACCCACAGGTTGAGAAAGGCTGTCTTAGGGGGTTGATCAATGCCTTTCATTTTGGTTTGAAAGGTAATTAACAATGAATATTCACCTGTGTTTCTTAAGAAGTGTCCCCTGGAGAAAGATGATTCAGTCACCAGTTGGTCAGTCAAACTTATAAGAGCCTGCTGGATGAGGCCAAAGGCCCATCTAGTCCAGCATTCTGTCCTCACTGTGGCTACCCAGATTCTCTTGGGAAACCCAACCACTCTCCTGTCCTGTGGCTTCCATCAGCTGGAAGCCAGAAGCATCATTGCCCCTGACTAATTTTTTCAGCACATCACACAACAGCCATGTGATCTGCAGAGCTCTGCTCAAGCAGGGGAACAAGTGGTGTCCTCAGTGTTTTGTTTGCTCAGCAGGGTCATCCTCACGGAGCGCTCATAAAAGGCTCCTGCTTGTGTGGAGCTCTGTGTGAGCATCAGAGCCCCTGGGTGTGTGCCACAACTGCCAGACCAGTGCGGAATAGTCAGGGCCAGATTGAGGTTTGATGAGGCCCTAAGCTACTGAAGGTAATGGGGCTCTTTATATGTCCAGCTGTCCTTTGTCAACAACAAATTGTCGCTGTTTTCTGTATTGAATATATGCTATATGGTAATTTATGGACCTAATAGGTATCTAAAGCCATTTGCACATGTTGCCCTGCAACCAGTCCATGCAGAATGTAGGCACCCTATATCTAGAAATGAGCAAACCAGAGATATTTTAGGGAGCAGGCTAGCAGGCGGGGCCCATTACTTACATCATAGGAGCCTACACAACACAAAACACTGTTGCTGTATGTAGGTTTTATTTTATTTGCTTTTTTATCTTATATTTTGGAAATGTATATTTAGGTTTCTTTTCCTTTAAATTTTTGGGGGGCCACCAAGAGAGTGGGACCCTGAAATATAGCTTGTTTAGCTTATATGTAAATCTGGCACTGAGATTAGTCCAAAGGTGCATGCAAGCATTGGAATGGTTTCTCTAGCACTCATCACAAAGAGTTCACAAGAAGTCACCCATAAAGTCAGAAAACCCGGTGTTTCTTCTTTCCAGTAAAACAAAAAATGAATCCCCTGTGGTTTTTAATACTAATTCCTTCCATTTATATCATAGTGTTAGATTAACGTGCCCCATTACTGGCTGAATAACAGCCTGTGTAAATAGGTGAAAGAATGGTCAGTTCACCTGACCATTTGGGTTTGTGCAATTTCTCTGAAATCAATGCAGCCACACCAGCCTATGCGGCCTTGTAATTACCTCCCAGAGCATTTCATCCTCTCCTCCCCCAATCTCTCCTCCACCCCACCTCCGTGCTCGGTAGCAGTATTTGCAAAGCCAGGGTATTGTCGAAATGCAGTGCATTCCTACTGCGATCTGTTCTCCTTGCCACACTGACACCTGCTGAGGCTGTATTGGATTGTTATTTTATAGCAGCCTTTTCTTGAATTAATTACATATCTGCAATCAGGGAACCGTGGCTGCTGTTTATGAGCAACATCTCGGGTACAACTGTGAACGAGTGAATTAGTGCCAATTAATTTCTGGCTGCATTATTTAAGGTGGAGAGAATGCTAGCTTAGCCAGGACAGCATATTTTTTCCCCCTCCTCAGTGCCTTTTATAGGTACTTTTCTTGAGTTCTTTAAAAAAAGAGCCTGTAATCAACTTGGGCATGTGGAGGAGGGCAGGATCTGCTGTATGAAATTCATCACCCTGCATAGATTCAAATGGCCTTCTTCTGTGTACTCATTCATGGGCTGGGTGGAAAGAGTTGAAACCTTGTCCCTGGAGCCAGGCCGCTACTATCTGATGACCAACCTAACCTTCAGTGGCAGACAGCAGCAGTGCACTTAAAATGCACTGAATCTGAACTGCTTCAGAAGACACACCAAGGCACAAAGGGGCTGAGATGAAAAATCAAGATGCTTCAATTTGTATAACTACATTTGCTCCTATGCAGGTCTGTCCCTTCTTCCTCTCAGACCCCTCTCCTCTCCCCCCGATACTTTCTAAGGGCTCTTCCAGGAGACTTGACATTCATTCTGATTTGTTTGCAGGGAACAAAGGGATGTATTTACTTTCATGGTGGGTTATATGTCTTTCCCTTAATCATTTATTCACCCCGCATCCAGTGCATTTTTCTGTGACTTTACTCACCACAAAGCCTGATGGTTTTTTTAGTTGTTGTTTTTTTTAAGTAGATTTGTTGCCAGAGGGCAACTGGGTGCTTTAGTCCACTGTAATTTTGTACACCTACATGATAATCTGGAGGCGTCCTAAATCTAAATTATAATCTTCTTGAAAGATGGCTCTGTCAGTTACTTAGGTTATTCTATAAAGAGTAATGTATGTGAAGTGTAGGTGGGCTCCCACGAGGCAAGACACAGTGACAACAGCAAGAACCTTTATTGAACTAACAGAACTGGACAACAGGGTCAAAGCAACTGCTTACAGACATTTCTGAAGGCCTAGACCACTCCTGAAGGCCTACACCACTCCCACACCCAACGTGATTGGCTGTCTAAACTTCCAAGCTGCAAATCATGACTCAGAGTTTAAGGGCCAATAGCAGAGGCCCAAATCCTGAAATGTTCTATGACTGCTTTCTGCTTTCTTTATAAATGTATATTTCAACATTTTTTTCATCTCATTATATATCGTTTTCCAAAAGCTTTTCACTTCTTTACATTTGTTGGGTTGAAATAAACGACAGACGAGTGACAAGTGTCATATGGGAGGCATCTCTCGAGCATGTCTCGGAGAGTCCCTTTTATTGAATATTACAGCATTACCACATATGTGCTTGTTGCTGATTGGTTAACACAAATACAATGCGAAGGTTGAATATAGGTATTAATCATCAATAGATTAAGGGTTGGGAAAAGGAACACAGAATTGGACAGGCGTGAAATCTCCCTATTAAACTATTAACTAGTGATTGATTATAACAAGACTTAAACTATTACTAGTGATTGATATTGCATAACATGAAAGAACATAATAATCGCATTCCGTAGATGTGGTCAACAATGCGTTAAGAACAGGTCAGGGTATGATGAACTCAATGTGAACTGAACATTCCCAGACTCATGTGCAAAGGCAGAACTTCCCATCATACATTCCCACCACATGTGATAAAATGTTCTTTCTTTTTCTTTACATTTCCAACATTTATTGCTAACTTTATACATTTTAGCTAATTTAACGGGTGTAATGTACCATCTATACATCATTTTCACAGTGCTGCCACATTCTTTTAGCAGCTGTCTTTTATTGCCCCAGTATTTTGTAGCTCAGTGGTAGTGCATCTCCTTTGCAAGCAGAAGGTCCCAGTTTCAATCCCTAATAGCACATCCAGGTGGGTCTTGGAGAGACCCCTGCCCTGAAGAGCCACTTCCAGTTGATGTCGACAATACTGAGTTCAATAAACCAACGTAGTGTAAGACATCTTCCTATGCCCCTGTTCAAGTCTTTTGTAAATTTTACCATACTTCAGCCTCTTGGGTTCAGCCAGGCTAAGCATCAAAATATCAAACAGATAAGTTTCAGTCTGTAGTTTTGCACACCAAATAATCTCCAGGTAGCACTATAGTTTGGTTTCAGGTGGGACTCTTACCTGATGCCTGTAGCACAATCCTAAGCATGCATCATCAGAGGTAAACCCTGTTGAGTTCAACAGGGTTGACCCTGAAGCAAGTGTGTTTAGAGGTCTTAAATAAGGTTTCCTCTTCCATATCAACGCATCTGATTTTTCCTGACGCTCACATGCTTTGGGTAACCTAAAGGCTAGGCCTCTCTAAAGCTGAAGGATATGTCCAGTATATAATATGCACAACTTCCCCCAGAGTCTGGCTCATAGCCATATGCCCAGAACTGCTAATAGTTTGTTTATTTGTGAGTGGGCTTTGTTTTCCGTGCCACAACACAAAAGTTATCTGGGCCACTTACAGTAAATAAAACGATGCCAACATTTTTTAAACCCGTAATATCAAAATGAAATGCATGCAACGAAAGCAACATCCCCAAGAATATAAATACAGATTGTTGTTGTTTAGTTGTTTAGTCGTGTCCGACTCTTCGTGACCCCATGGACCAGAGCACACCAGGCACTCCTGTCTTCCACTGCCTCCCGCAGCTTGGTCAAACTCATGCTGGTAGCTTCGAGAACACTGTCCAACCATCTCGTCCTCTGTCATCCCCTTCTCCTTGTGCCCTCAATCTTTCCGAACATCAGGGTCTATTCCAGGGAGTCTTCTCTTCTCATGAGGTGGCCAAAGTATTGGAGCCTCAGCTTCACGATCTGTCCTTCCAGTGAGCACTCAGGGCTGATTTCCTTAAGGATGGCTAGGTTTGATCTTCTTGCAGTCCATGGGACTCTCAAGAGTCTCCTCCAGCACCATAATTCAAAAGCATCAATTCTTTGGCGACCAACCTTCTTTATGGTCCAGCTCTCACTTCCATACATCACTACTGGAAAAACCATAGCTTTAACTAAACGGACCTTTGTTGGCAAGGTGATGTCTCTGCTTTTTTTAGAGTGTGTTTAGAGGTCTTAAATAAGGTTTCCTCCTCCATATCAACGCATCTGATTTTTCCTGACGCTCACATGCTTTGGGTAACCTAAAGGCTAGGTCTCTCTAAAGCTGAAGGATTTGTCCAGTAAATAATATGCACAACTTCCCCCAGAGTCTGGCTCATAGCCATATGCCCAGAACTGCTAATAGTTTGTTTATTTGTGAGTGGGCTTTGTTTTCCGTGCCACAACACAAAAGTTATCTGGGCCACTTACAGTAAATAAAACGATGCCAACATTTTTTAAAGCCGTAATATCAAAATGAAATGCATGCAACGAAAGCAACATCCCCAAGAGTATAAATACAGATTAAAACAACACAAAACAAAACAAAACAAAACAAAACAAAACAGAGAGACCACAAAGGTGAGCCTCATTAGGAAGGCAGTTGTGTATGTGGGGTCCCAGCTGCCATCTTGCTGTTGGTGCCTTCAATGGACAAAATCCCCCCTCCCTCGTGTGTGTGTATGCACACACAATATTGTATCCATATAGCTCTTCACCGGCAAAAGGAAATTAAATCAGTGCACGCCAGCTATCTTACTCATCTCACCTGGGAAGGTATGCATGAGGTAGGACAGACACTGCTTAACATTAATCAGTCTCCTGAAGTCATTACATTCATGAGGAAATGTAATTCACATGTGATTACTTTTTAATTTACTCTGTAATCACATTCCTAGTGAATGGGGTAAGCTTAAAATGAAATTTAAAAGTCAAATACTGCTTTGTATTAAGAATTCACAATTTTTATATGCACTTAGGTTAATAAAGATTTTTACAATAACCAATTGTGACTGAAGATGCAATCACTTTCTTCTCCTCCAGGAAGTTGTTTTTCTCTTCTTTTCATCTTCACAAAAGGTGCTTCATTCCTGCCCGCAGGTACAATAATGGCTCTTTGGGAAGTCTTGGGATTATGTTTCTTGCTAAATTTCCATCTTGTAGAAATGTTTGTTTGTTTTTCAATAATACAACAGAACAAAATAATTCTGTCTCATGTTGGCAGTTTCTGGGACTCATGTTTAATTTTCACGGGGAAGGTAAGTGTGTTCCTTTGTTTTTTAGCATCAGCAGGGAGCATTGTTGAGAGGAAGGGCTTGTGATAAAGGCTTTTTGCTTAGAAGACAATAGTTTGGGAGTCTCTCTTTTCCTCAAAAGGGTGAGACTTCTTTCCAGGCACAGGAGAATCTTTCAATTTCAGTTCTCTCAGTTTCTCAGTTTCCCCATACAGTGGTACCTCAGGTTACATACGCTTCAGGTTACATACGCTTCAGGTTAAAGACTCCGCTCACCCAGAAATAGTGCTTCAGGTTAAGAACTTTGCTTCAGGATGAGAATAGAAATCGGGCTCCGGCGGCGCTGCGGCAGCAGGAGGCCCCATTAGCTAAAGTGGTGCTTCAGGTTAAGAACAGTTTCAGGTTAAGAACGGACCTCCGGAACGAATTAAGTACTTAACCTGAGGTACCACTGTATTCAGTTCTCTAAAATTCTACATCAGTGGGTGATTTATTCTTGTGAAAATTCACCAGCATTTTAATGTTAATTTCTCTGAACAGACACATGTGTGTATGCAATTGTTCCTAATACACTCATTTCTGCAAAGCATGCTTTCTGCTAGAATGCCTTTTTTGTGGTTTATTTTCAGTAGCACATGCATTTTCATGCCCACTACCTGGCTGAAGACCTGCATTGCAAGATTCAGAGAAGGACAAATTTTGGAGGATTGCTGTGTTTTGGTCCACTGATTGTTTTGAAAAGTGCAAGTCAGGTGGGTTTGCCTTTAAATGAAAACTGAATCGCATTCCATCTCCATCACTACTTCTTTCATGAAAACCCTTCCTAATGTCAGTGGAAATGGATCTTGTTGTCAATGTTGCTTAAGGGAAACTCTTTATTTTCATTATTTACATTCTTCCTTTGTTTAGTAACTTATAGTACCAACACTGCCTATTTCAAATCATGCTAAGGCCTGATGTTTCAGAGTGGATTGATTTAAATCAAGTTTCCTATTTAAAATTCATATATCACCTGAACATTCATGTAGCATCATTTCCTACAGCATATACGTATAAAACCCTGTCCAGAACAGGCCATTTCCCCACTTTTACTTAGTTGGTGATCCAAAAAGCCACTAGCTTAAAAAGGTTGAGTCTGACTTCACTGTGTGCTTGCTATGTAATGGCTGCCATCTCTCTCTCTTCTTCCTAGCAGTATTCTTCAACTTTGGGTTCCCAGATATTGTTGGACTACAACTCCCATCATCCCTGGCTAAGCTAGCTAGGGATGATAGGTTTTATAGCCCAACAACATCCGGAGACCCAAGGCAGAAGAGCACTACTTCCTAGTGTATGTTTATTCCTTTTTTTGACTAGCAGAAGGCATAATTGTCAAAATACAGTGTATCAAGTCAGATCAGTGCTGTTTTCTTGTTGTTTGCTGATGTAAGAAGGCAGCTATTTCCATTCTCCCTTGTACCCATTGCAATCGGCACCGTTTCCATTCCATTGCAGTTCAGCTTCCACCAAAAATTACATAGTTCATCTTTCTGTCCATTGTGATCAAATTTAACCTAATTAATTATGTAACTACTGAGATAATTAATTATGTAATGCCTCATCATTCATTTCAATGCAAAGGAAACACCAGAAAAATGAGGTCTTCAGTTGCGTATTGTTTGTGGACTAAAAAAAAAAAGAAAAAAGCACTTATCAGATTTCTGTTCCTGACCACAAATGTGCACATAAAGTGCAGCTTCCTTGTCCACTTAGAGCAGAATTCTCCACCACACCTACTGTTAAGTCGGTTTTCTAAGGGCTGGATCTCACAGTACTTTTAGACTTTTTCGTGTGGCGGGTAATAGAGTACAAGAGGGCTATTGTGGTCACATGAGAACATCCTGAGGTCTGGAACACTTGCCAGAGCAGTTCTTGTGAAATCAAAGTCTGCAGCTTGGACCTGGATGTCTGGGCTTCAGAGATCACCTGGACCTGGAGCCTCATTCTGGGTTCCTTGATGGAAATAATGAGAACCAGGCCTGCTGCAATGTGCTGTCTTGCCTCCTGATGGGTTTGGTGGTTCCATAAAATGTTGGCAAGCAGCGGTAGGCAGAAGGATTATGGCCTAGCAAGTTGCGAGTCAGCAAAATGAACTGTGCTAAGTAGGCAGGAAGGTTGGCTGGTCATTTGAATGAACAATATGTGCCCAAGTCTCTTCCCAAAAGATGAAATAAGTTTAGAATAACCAAAACACTACGGATGACAAGAAGCTTTGTTCCATTTTTCCTCCCGCCCCCTCCCCATTTGACAAAGACTTTCCCCCCCTCCCCATATGACAAAAAAATTTCAGAAATAGGTCTTCTTGCCTCTAATAGCTTTCCTGGCTTTGCTTGTTAATCAAACTGGCATCATCTTGGACTTGTAGCATAAATTATATATATGTATATCTTCTCCTTCACCCCACCCTAAGCATTATTGACTATACATAATTCCCCCACCCCAAACATCTGAAGAGGACTTGGTTTTTTGGACATTCGGGTGGATAAATAATGACTTGCCCTAGTTACCCAGTGAAGTTTGTTGCTGAATGGAAATGTGACCCTAAATCTCCCACATTCGATGGGTGCCTCTTATGCATACAAAGAAGTAATGGAATATCCAAGCCACTAACAGAAAAAAATGCAACGTGAAGATGTGAAGTCTATTAAGAGCAACCATATTAAAGCAGGGCTTTAAAAATGGCTCAGTGAAACCAGAAACAATTAGGCCTTAATTGACTCTCA